TTCCATCTCGGCAGATTCCAATCGGGGATTCTGGAGGGGGCAGCTATGGAGCAACAGCAGGGGCCGGAGGAGGTGCGTTCGACGAGCACTCGACGAGCACACTAATTTCCCCATACTACTCTTCAACCCTTATGAAACGTGGATGTAGTCCATACACGACGATTTTCACGAGACACGATGCACGGGGCGGAAGGTGTTGGCCGGGGCCCCGCAGTGTGTCCCACGATTAGGATGAGTGCATGGCGGGATTTTAACGAATTCAGGGAACCAAACCGTCCGTCCGGTGTTGGCTGGCCTCCGGTGGGGCCTCCGGTGGGGCCTCAGCCCGCCCGGGCCCTGCCAGCTCCCGCTGCTGAGGGAGGGACTCCAGTTTGGTGAGCGGGGCGAGCGATTCTAATGAATGAGTTTTGGGAAGACACTGGCACCTGGCAGCAGACACCCCCTCTTTAGTGGCCTGGCCCGGGCCCAGCCCCGAGGGGGGCCCAGGGTAGCCGGGGAGGGGGTCCCCCGCGCCCCCGCAGAGATTGCACCTCCGGTGGGCGCCGGGAGTCCCAGACCCTTGGGCCCCTGCACCGGGATGAGGCGTCAAGGGACAGGCATAAATTTCTAGACGCGTTATACAGGGTGGGTGATCCGCGCCGTGGTTTTTTTCTGCTTATGCTGTACCGGATTCATGCGTGCGGGCGGGCTTGCCTATCGTCGCTCACCAGGGCGCCTTACGGCCCCGTGCGAGTATGCAACCCGTCCGCACGCATGAATGCGGTACAGTATAAGCAGAAAAAAACCACGGCGCGGATCACCCACCCTGTACAGCCGCACGATCATAGTTTTACTGGCATTATTTAAAGTGTGCGTATGTCCGAGAGGAGCAGGGGTCCTACTCGTCCTGCTCAGGGTCACCGGCGCCAACACTGGTGTGGGGTGGGTCCGGAAGCAGTCAAGCGCGCCCCCCCACAACCCTCCGGGACAAGGGGGGACCGCCCACCGCCCCCTTCATAAAATATTAAAACGGCGTGGGACTGATACTGAGAGAGACAGAAAACTATGCGGTAGGGCCGAGAATATGCGAGTGGGAGAAAGAGAGGTGATGTGTGTAGCCATTTCCTGGCGGCGGAAGACAGCGCGCGGAAGGGTCCTTTCAGGGTGAAATTAATTTCTTTCAAGCGGTTACGGTCAGCCATTGGGGCGGCATTCGGGCGACAGTTTGTTTTGAGGTTGGGTCTGTGCTGCGCCCGCGCGCTCCGCCGTTGACAAGCCGAGGTTACGACGCAAGTTATGAAGAGTGCGCGCGGAGCCCTAGTCCGGCCCGGCAGGTCCCGCGGGCGCAGCCGGGGACGAGGCCGGGGACAGCCGGGGACAGCCACCCGGGCCTATCTGTCCTGTCCGAGGCTGTAACTGTCCCGGCCCAGCCAACGATCGTCCCTCCAAGCTCCCTGATTCCGAGAATCAGTCCCGGCGTCGCATCTCGACATCCCTCTCCTTTTTCCGTCCACTTTCCTCTCTCCCTCGCTCTACCTCTCTTGTAAACAGAACCTACTTTGCACAAAAAATACAAATGCAATGTGTTAAATGTGCGGTATACATGGCGTTTTAGCGAATTCGGTCGACTTATTTTTCACTGACTGCAGATGCGTTTTGGGCACTGAAATGAGTGAACGCGCAAGAGAGGTAGTTCACGATCACTGATGAGAAGCAAGAAGTAAGGGAGAGAGAGGGGGAGGGAGAGAGATAGAAAGGCGAGTAGAGAGCGCTTGGAGGAAGGGACAGGTAGGGAGACAAGGACGGCGAAGGCACCGGTCGTACTGCATGCATAAATCTGTTGGGACCTCTACCCGTGTAGTTAATTGGTGTCTTCATGTTCTCCAGGACGTATCGAGACAGAACTGTCTGTGGGAAATGCTGCGCCTTCCAATAAAACGCTTCAAGGAGTTATTTGGTCTCCCCCCGCTCTCTTTCTCTCTCGCTCCTTTCTCATCCCAAATTCTTCTTCCCTCGGGTGGATCCTGGGTGACACCTCGCATTAATTGTCTTACGGCATCACGCCGCTGTCGTGGTCCGCATTCAAAAGTGGAGGATAACAATTTTCGCCCGAAAACAATTTATGTTACGTCTCCTTTCGGTCCTTATCTCGTCGAGGGGCGGTGGCAGAGGGGGGAGGGGGTATGGGAGGAGGCTGGGCCAAGAAGCTAATGCCACAATTAACATGCCCCCTTACATGTGTTCCCGATAGTGTGTGCGCAAGAGAGGTGGTGATGTCCAAAAGAAATCCCCGCCCAGTTGGCCCGGGCCCGCCTCCCCTCCACCTCCATGTCGCACAAGGCCCGGGCTCCTGATGTGATGTGCACGAGTTTATCTTAATGATTCCGGTGAGAAGGAGAGGGCAAAACCGCCAGTGATGTGGGTGTTTTCCGGTGTATTCCCGAAATGCGTATGCCATGGGTGGCACCGGTTGACAAAACCGGCAGACAAAAAACAAAAACTCCTCGACCATCTGACACGTTTAGAAAAGGGTATGTCTTTACTACTGCAATCGGCGAGGTGCAAACGCCTGTGAAAGTGTGCTCTGAAAGTACTGACTTCTCCAGCCGCGGGGCTTTGACAACGAGGATGAGGACATCCCCCCAGTCGTCGTATAGGCGCGTCGTATCGGCCGGTCGTCCGCGGCGGTGGTGTTTAGCGTCGGCCTCGCGTCGGCCCGTCTGTCAGGCGAGTGAAATGATCGGCCCTGCCGGACCCACACCAGCCACGGCAGCGCCCGGCATTCCTCGGCAGTCCGGAGCAAGAGCGGCCAGAGTTACATTTGTCACCGGCAGAAACATGTGGTCTCAACTGGACGAGACGGACGTGACACTGTCGCTCAATTCGCGATAATGATCGGCACGCCGCCAGTCATGTGATAAACATGACCGTCCCCGGGTTCGAATACCGCGCGCCAAGCGTCAGGTTCATATTCCTTTTCCCCCCCATTTTTTTTGGGGGGGGGGGGGGAAGGGAGTGATGGCACTCCGTCTAAAGGGCGCGGGGGAGTCAGGGTAAGGTACAAGGTGGCACTCTTGGGCTCCGATGATGCATGGAGCCGCCGCTACTGTCCACGTGACATCGCCGAGTGACAGAGTGGCGTGCAGGACGAGGAGGTACGAGGTACGGGTGACGGATGGCGGCCGAGTCTTTATGAATGATGCGCGTCCGACTGATTGGGGAGCGTTCGTCGTCAGGAGGGTGAACGCCCTAGATACCCCGTCGGGAGGGAAAAGTAAAGTACACTAACAAACAATTCAAACAAAGAACTTGATTCATTTGGGGCGGTATGGTTCGCAGAAAAAACTAACAGTACATTTTTTTAAAAAAAGAAAATTTGCGCTACCGATACCCCCGCTTTATCGGCTTTATCATGGGTGTTTGAAGATTCGGTAGTATTCCAAGTTCCGGGTGAGGCACACAGCTGGCGGTGCCCCGGCGGCGGTGTGGAGGGGTGTGAGCAGGGTCCGACACGACGGCCTGTTATGAATATGGCGCTTCTTTACGGCGACGCCGTGTGGACAGGCCGAGACATTCAATTCGATCCTCCCAATTATGAGCCGCATGCCGCCGCGCGACAAAAGGGCCTAAGCGAGGTAGCGACACGCTCGCCCCGTAAATCAGCGAAATGTATAAACAAATTATAAGGAGGAGGAGGAGCAAACGGCGGGACCGAGAGGCGGGCGAGAGCGAGACAGAGAGAGAGCGAGGGAGAGTGCGAGGGGCTTTACGACACGGCTGCTCGCCGCTGAAAGGTGCCGCCGCCACCGCCGCTTCCCCGAGTCATCCCAGTTTTGAACTCCCCGCGTAGGTTTGAGTGAGCGCGAGAGTTGGTGAGGGGTAACAACTGCCGCCGGAGCACGCCAGCCAGCGCACCCCACCCTTCTGATCAGACGTGACATTCCAGAGCAGCGCGTCCTGCAGAGGGAGGGCGAGGGGGAGGCTACAAATAACGTCGAGGACCTGACCTGTCCACGCTGGAGAGGACAGGTCACGTGGACACGGGCCCGGCCCGGCGGGGGGCGGGGGCCCCGGTGGGGGTGCGACGCCGGTAGCTCCACGACGCGCATATAGGGACGCAGGGGGCGCTTGTGTTTCCTAGGAACAACGCACGCGGGACCCGCCGTTAAATGTCGCCTACAACCGAAGAGTTTCGTTTTATTTTTTTTAATGTAAAGGGTAGGCCGAGGGGAGGGAGAGTAGAGGGGGGGGGGGTGCGCGTTTACAAACTCACGGAATAAAACGAGCTGCCGGTGCGGCTCACGGCGCGGGGATGAGTCACTCCGGCCGGCCTGAGCCACAACTCACACGCTGCCTTTTGCTGTTTTGGACCTTTTACGAGGCAAAGGTAAAGCCGTTTGACTACTTTGTTTATGAACTTTATGTGGCTGGCCAGGTTGACGACCGCGCGACGGGGACGCGACGAGACGACGGGCCCCAGGCGCCAATGTCAACGGATGACCTAACAATGTGGTCCTCGTCTCGGCCCGGCCCCGGCCAGGACGCCGCCAGCGTCGCCGTCACCGCGGGGGGCTGGCTGGACACGCGGCCGCGCTCGGACACGTCATCCTGGCCAGGACGACCGAGAGGACGACTCCCTCCATCCAGCTCGAGACCGAACCCCTTCCACCACACACACACGAATGCTATGCTGCGGTCGACATAAAACCATTTATGGCAATAAAAGAATAGAACTCAAAATATTTGTCGTTACACATATTGCTCTCTGATGTTAGTATTGCATATGACGCCGTTAATGAAAAAGGTACATTATGGGAAACGCACGGCGCGTGACTGCCCGCAAAATCCTTTGGCATCAGCCGTGTCTACAGTTTCTAACCTCTGAAAAATTTCGAATGTGACATCCGGAACTCCGCTTCTACAAAAGCATTTCACAAAGGTTTACTTTTAAGCCTGATTCCCACACACACACTCGCGGTTCATAGTTTAGGGGTTATGTTTGTTGGTTATGTTTGACTCACCTTTCCGTCCTCGCCGACTCGCGCTGACCCGAGTCCTCCTTGAAGGCTGCGTTGAAATTCAACGGCGTTGAATGTCTCAGCCCTGATGCGAAGAGAAGGATGTCGATGTCAACTAAAATTAATTACTAAACAACTCATCAACAGTCGCAACTTGGTGCAGTGGTGGGCTTGCGCCACCCTCCGTGGTTTACGCACACACGCCGCTCCGAACCCTAACTACAGTGTGTCCGGCGAGGCGGGCGGGGCGCGGCGCGGCGCGGCTGTCACTCACTCGGGCGACAAGCAGACGACTTTAAAAAATGTCTCCGCGGTATTCGTGCAGGTGCTTACCTGTGCTGGACCTTGATGGGTTAGCTAGCGGCCCTCTGATGGGTACGCTGGCTCAACAAGACACTCAACTACTGCTGAGCGAAAAAAAGAAGTACGAGGGTGCGACACGACGTGCCATCGTTCCGGTGCAGAGCAACTCCAAACGTAAGTGGCAACTACATTGAAATTTTATGTGGTGGCGCGACGAATCTATTCGCCAGGTAAAGCACCTGAATTTAAGATGTGTATGGCTAACGTAACTGGTAACTCGGTGGCGGGTGGCCTTCCTAACCTCTCGTGTTTCATGTCGACGTTGTCGATGTACATCCGCGGGCAAATCCCAAAAGGCAATCGTGGGATTGCGATTATAGCGACCTTACGGCATTGTTTCCAAATCCGCGATAATTGCGACAAAGTTAATTGCGTTCAAAATCTGGAGTGGCAAAAACGAGCAAAGTGGTAGTGGCGCTAGCAAGCTTTGTTAGCTTGTTTTCGGTTCAATATTCGATATTGTTCAGTTCCGCAACGCTCGCAGCTGCACTACGATGACCAACAATTTTCTGTTGTTGTTCTGATTAATGATAATGACGTTTAGAGCGCAGAGGTCATATGGACCGCAAGACAGGCGAAGCAGCATCTCACGAGGTTTGTGAA